AACTAAATAACTATTCTGGTGGAGCTCACGACTTTTCCTCAACAGGCAAAATGGTTGAGGTGCTCTCCACGAGATTAAGTCAAAGATGAGGTGAGGTTGACTATTTTCAAGGCGGTGAGGGTGAAACTTCCAGATGCTCTCTTAATGACGTAGTCAAGTTGATGAGTTTTATTGGGTCTGGGCCTCATTAAGTCTATTGGGTCTTTATAAATTTGAGCTCTTGATTATGGTTGGGCTTTCAATATAGATTGGCCCATTTGGCAAAAAGTTCACGTGGGCTCTATTAATATTTTGCCTATTAATATATATTATTTTTAATTATTATAATTTAATTTTTATTTAAAAAATATTTTTTTATTATTTTAGATGCTAAATATTGTTCAAGTTCATATATTTAAGTTTTGAAAATAAATTTTTCTCAATCGATAATATAGTTAATTCATTCAATTAATTGTAATTGATCATAAATAATATATTATTAATTAAGTTTTGAACAAACAATTTAATAGGGCCTCTAAAATTTGGACTTAAACCAAGTTAAAACTTGGGCCTTAAGGTAAATTTTTTGGGGCCTCTAAAAGTTGGATTTAACCAAGTGGAGAGTAATTTTGAGTCTAACAAAATTAGATATTAATTTAAACTCTTAAAATTTAGGCCCTAAAATTTGGATCATATCTACAATACAAAAAAAAAATGCCTACTCTGGTAAAAGGATAAACTTTTGGGGGCCCTTTAAAATTTGGGATTAACTAAGTTGGAGTAATTTTCAACTAAAAAATTAAATATTTATTTGAACTCTTAAAATTTGAGTTGTAAAAATTTATATGATATCCAAAAAAAACATAGGCCTATTATACTAAATTTTTTGTGGGGTCCATTTTAAAGGCCCTAAGTGAACACCTTAATTGCCTAGGCCTACGGCCGACACTGTGGCCCGCTTTTAAAAGAATCCAGAAAACTCTAGAATAGAGATTCTGGAGAACTCTAGGTCATATTCAATGAACATTCTAGAAACATTAGAACGGAAAAAAGAAGCTTAGAGAAACCTAGACTATTTTAGAGAAGTCTATCTACATATATAAAACAAACAAATTAAGAGGTAGTTTGAGATGTCTTCCCTCCGTGATTTTAAAATTCTTAGAATTTTAAAGTTTTTATTTCAAAACCTAAGAATTTCATCCAATCAACTCCTACCATGTGTTATGTTATAACCACTGCTCAATTTTCTAATAACTAACCAATATATTTTCAAAACTATAAAAAAAAAATAGACATGATTTATAATCTCGTGCATTGCACGGGGAGGGCTACTAGTCTTGAAGTATTCTAAAGAATTCTTGTACTCGTAAAAATCTAGATATTTATAAGAAACATTCTAGAAAAATCCTAGATGTACTTAGTCATTTATTGTAAAGTAATGCTATTGAGACCTAATTTATTGATCTAATTTGCTGACTAATTCATTATAACCATTGGAATGACTATGGGGCTCATCACACATTGTAATTTGATATTGATCCAATGGTTCTTTTGAAATCACATCATTATGTCAGCAAATTAGGTCAAATTTTTAGATCCAAATAGTATTACTCCTTATTGTAAGGTCAAGAGTCTATAAATAGAGAAGGTGACCTAGTAACAAGTCTCAAGTTGTAATATTCTCTTAGTCCAATGTATTTTCATTCCCTTAAATTCTTTTGACCTTTCTCCTAGTGCTAAATTCTTTTGACCTTTCTCCTAGTGCTAGCTAGATTGGAATATGTATTTTCATCTAAGCACATTCAAAGGAGTTTACTAGTGTTTAAATGTCGCAAGGGACTTGAAAAGTGAAATCCCGTGACAAAATGCTCACATGCACACAATAAAAAAGCATGATGCACTATATTCACAGTCACAACACAATTCAGTTACATTTTTATTTTTTTCCACTTGAATCATATCTCCAAGTTAGTCCTATCTAGGTCTTTGTCTACTTCCTTTAGAAGAAAGTCATTAAAGGTTTTCTACCTTTTTTCTAGGTTGGAATTCTAGAAAAAAATATAACTCTCTTTAAACATGTGACACTACAAATGCCTTCTATTTGCTTTTTCTAAGCAGTGTTCTGTTGTTCTAGTTATTATGACCTGTCATTCAATGACATCTTTGATTGACAAAAAATTTCAATAATAATCAATGAGAGCAACGCCCTAATAGTCTGGTTACCTCCACTCAAGTATAATGCATTTCTTATGGTCTTGTATGACCCCTGGTTGTGCCGCTGTAATGAAACTAATCGACAAAGTTACCTACCTATTTAAGATTGTTGCATCTGCAAGCACCTCCCATACAAATTAGAAGTTGATCTCTTAAACTTAACACCATTTTGTGGATTGTTTCATGATTTGTTTCTTAACCTCAAGAACATATTATAGCAATTCTTCAACCTTTTTCCTTTTACCCCATTTTTCCGAAAATATACATCTCATGTACATAAAAAAATAATTTAATAAAAGCTCTGACAATAAATTTTGTGTTCATTCTGTTAAGTTTCTTTATAGTGTGTATGTATGTATAAGCATGGATGCTGCTTTGCATCTATGCCAACAAAAAAAAAGAAACACATCTGGTTGTGATAATAAAGGATGAAGTTTGTTGAATTTTCAGGTTTTGAAAATTACATCATCTCCTTTGTTTCAGTTGCAATAACAAATATCCGAGGAAGGAAAAACAGAAAGCTATTCATCAGGCTTTCTTTCATTTTGAACTATGCCAACCCTTTTCCCCCAAAAGTTTTTGAGCAATGATTGATTGGACCCAGATCGCAATATTTTGTGTACGCTGAACCGTTCCGACTCTACAGCCCTTAAGGGCGGATAAAATAGTGAAAATTGGGTGAGTCCTCTTATAATGACTTTAGTGGAAAAATTATATTTTTAATATTACTAATAAGTAGTTAAATTTATTATTTTTTTAAAACTCTAAAATACTCTTTTTTAAAAAGAACTTTAAATTAGTTTCTCAACTTGAGAATAATTATTCCTTAATTCACTATCAATGAAAATATGTCAATAAATTTAAAATTCAAATTCAAAGAACAACTAATACTCTCTCTTTCTCTCTCTCTCTCTCTCTCTCTATATATATATATATATATATAATTTTTTTTACCACATTACTGTTCATGTTACTGTTTTTGTGAACATGTTACTGTTTTTGTTGGACATGTTATTATTTATGTTACTAATGTTATTTTTTCAAATATTAATATTCAATGTTATTATTTTTTTTTGTTTAAATGATACTATTTTTTGTGTTTAAATGTTACTATTTTTTTAATGTTACTATATATATGCACTAGTTATTTCCTGTGCCTGAAAATAAGAAGTAATAAAAAAAAATTAATAATAAACATATTTGTATTTACACTCAAAATCAAATTATAAAGATAGAGGAGATAGAAAGAAAATTTAAGAACCGATTGTAGCAGGGGCGAGCGATGATTGTAGGGGCGAGCAGTGGTTGTGGTGGTGGACGGCAGTAGTGGTGGTGGGAGACGATAATAATTGTGATGGGTGATAACAACTGGTTGTAATGGTGGCAGCCGTGAGTAACAATGGTGATGGTAGTGGTTGGGCAGTGGGGGTGGTGGTGATGGTGAGACAGTGGCGGTGGTGGTAAGGTGACAACAGCGGTGGGAATGGTGGTAGTGGGGCACTGGTGGGGTGATGGTGGTGGTAGGGTGCTAACAGCAGTAGTGATGGTGGTGGAGGGACGATAAGGGTGGTGGTTATTGTGGCAGACGTGGTAGTATGGTGGTGATAGCGGCAGTGGTGGTGATTGTTGTGGAAGAGGTGGTGGTGGGGGTTGCAACGGTAGTGGGGCAGTGGTGGTAGGGTGACGGCAATGATAGTGATGGTGGTGGTGGGGCGATGGAGGTGGTAGTAGCGGTGGTGGTGGTGGTGGTGGGTGGGGTGGTGGTGGTAGTTATTGTGGCAAAGGTGGTGACAGTGGCGACAGTGGTGGTGGTAGTAATGATGGTGGTGGAGTGGTGGTGGTGGTGAAGTGGTTTCAAACACTACTTTTTTTTAAAAAAAAATATTTATGAAAAATTATAAGTGTTAAAAATACTTTTAAAAAATCACCTCAAACACACTCTTAGGGGCATATTTTTCTTATTAAATTTAGAGTGTTAATATTAACCGTCAGATTAATTTTAAAGTAAAATTGAAACAGATCTCAGTCGCAAAAAGCAAAAGTTATTTTATTTATCTTTTGAGATTTGAAATGTATTGTACTTTCTTATATAGATATATGTATGTGTGTGTGTATATATAGAGAGAGAAAGAAAGAAAAAGAAAGAAATAATCATATTTTATATATAGATATAGATAGATATGAGATAGAGAGAATTTTAATATTAATCAAACTCCTAAAATTTAAGAGTTGCTAGTTTTCAAATTTGTTTTAAGTAAATATAACTACTAAGGGTATTTTAGACAATAAAAATTAAAATGGACTTAATATTAAACAAGTTTCATTAATAGACTTATCGCCAAATAAATCCACAAAAGAAATTGAGCCTCTAACATAATGAGCAAAGCTTGAAGTTTGATCATATTTTTTTAGTTGATCCAACATTTTTTTATCATATTTTTTTATGAAAATAACTACGTGTTACGTTTTTAGACAGTATCACATACCCAATACGTGATCAATCTTTAAAAAACTTAATTATCCATCTATATAAAGACTATTTTGACACGAATTAAATTGATATTTTAGAAATCAAACTAACAAAAAACACATATTTTAAAGACCAAAAAACACTACTAACCCTTCTTTTTAAATGAGTTCTCAAAGCTATCGAACAAACAAACTTAGTCATTGTCGTTTGATGAAAAATACTGAAACTAATCACGTATTAATAGTTGTTTAATCTGGCCTTTACCAGTATAAACAACCCTTATAGAGTAGTATTTTTTATCTTTCTAACATGCCATCCTAACGCTTAACCAATTGTTTTAATTTGCTGGTTTAAAACCATGATTTGGACCCTGATTTGCCAAATACATTGGCAAAGTTCCAGTAGTATTTGCATAGGACCTGCATAAGCATAACTTTTTCTCAATGCAGACTTGGGAGGTAGAAACACAGGTCTTAGCCATTTTAATATTGCAAATAGTTACCCCCCCCCCCCCCCCCCCAACTCAGCCATAGGAACATAAAAAAGGTACACGTGAAAATATTGCTCAATGTGAAGAGAGAATTCATTGCAATTTGAAAGAGGCGGATCGAATCACAAAATTAACCTCTTTACATACCGGTATAAAGTTGTGTAGATCTTACCCTTCCGAAACTTTGTAGTAGTGAAAACCTCAATGACTATCCTTTCGCAAAGGAAAAGGCACTGCATGAAAAATGCAAACGCCTTTTCTCCACCAAATTGCAAAGCACTGGGGGAAACAGAAGTTTCTTTCCAACAAACCCAAAAGACTACCATCGACATGCCATCAATTGAGACGAACTGAAGAAAACATGCATTTCTCTTAATAAAGATGTCACAACAGTTAAATCTTTTACAACAGAAAGTAAATGCATACCACCCCTCCTCTCTCTCAGAGCGCAAAACAAGAAGGAAAAGGCAGGTGTTCCTCTTCCTCTGATCAGGCATGGATCTCCATGATGTATAGAGGTAGACTAAGAAAGTTCTAATGAGCAATTTTTTCATTCAGAAACCTCCCTTAATATTTTTTCGGACTCAACAAAGAAAACGAGATAATCATATGCCAAGAGAAAAGGTATCTCACCATAGTTGCATCCCTTTACTGGTGAAATGTTGGATACAAATCATACAAATACCAAAGTAAGAATACAGGTCCAAATTAGGCTCTGTACCAATAAGCCTAAAAAACTTACCATGACGTCATGATACACAATATCAGGAATTTGGTCGAGTACAACAGCCTATGTACAATCTCTATATTTAAAACTGAGAGTTATTACATAGAAACTACATTTACACTCCACCTTGGCTGCAAGGAAGGTAACGTCTCACTTACCTATCAGCAGTCAAAGCTGAGTTGTCTCCATTTGAAGAAGTAATGACATCATTAGCAGCGGTTATGGCGTCTGAGTCGTTAGCTTCACCATCACTCTGTGGGGTGAACATGAGATTCGGTAAAATGGAAGTCAAGCGAATTCAATCAACATAATCGCAATGCCAATGTCGTAATCAAGAAAAGAAAAAGAAAGTAAAAGGACTGCACAAAATTAAGTAAACTTATCCACAGAGAGAAGCAAACTGACTCTGCAAAAGAGGCAGAGGCATACCTGTTCAATAGCCTTCGCAGTAGGATCCTGGGTTCCCACAGTTGAAACCTTAGAAAGGTCTCTCAAAACTCCCTGCAAAAAACGAGCTCCAGGAATGAGTGTGCAAGCACCAGCTATTGAATACTTCATACAAAAGAAATGGTTTGCAAACAGAAGATGTATTATACACCTCCAGTATTCATGAGGGAATTGAACAACACCAGAATGAGATTGAAGGAAAAGAGAAACCATTCAAGCAACAATTGCAGATGAAGAAACAAGCATGTAAATTTTATGACTATCACATCAACAACCAGCATTGCATATCTACCAAAGCTAGGCTGAAATGCCAACTAAAACAAAATTTTGAGAAGACACTTCCAACCATCAATTCAGTAGAAGAAAACTGCACCCTAGAAAGCATCATAGATACGGACATGGGGATATGGCAAAATCCAAAAATATAAGACACGAGTACGTCAAGGATACGGCTAATTAAAATAAAATTATATATTTTTTGGATAATAATATAATTGTAATATATTAAAAAAAACATGTTTTATAACAATATTAATAATCAGACTTAGCAAATATAAATTTGTTGATTACAATTGAAATAGATCCAAAAAACAAATCCAACATTTTCAGCAAAAATTATTACATTTATTAACATTCATAGACCATAAGTTACATACCAACAAACACAACTATAAAATTAAAAAAAAAAATCCTACACTCCTCTCAATAGTTAACAATCTTGAGATTTAAAAAAAAAAATCATGGCCGTGTCCTAGCAGTGTTTTGGTCATGTCCAACCGAATTCACTAATCAGGATACTTCTAGCCATGTCCAACACTGCCACGGTGCTTCCTAGGCCACACCCTTAGAAGGCCAAGACTAAGTCAGGAAGCCCTACAACCTTTATAGCTGATTGTCACTAAATCAGCAACCTGTCATTTTCCACACCAGAGACTTAGTTTACATGGTAAGATTTAATGCCTGATCAATGTATTAGCACATAATATAAATACTTGGGGTAAAAAGGCATTATCTCAAGTTTCAACTTGCATTTAATGATCAATAGAAATCAGTGAGCAAGTGCATTCTTTTCTAGAATGCACGCACAAATTTGATTAGAATAGGCTGCATAGGCAAAATTGGGAAATAAAAATCATGGTCACAGGCACTAGGCACCATTTTAGTCCACTGTATACTGTTTAGTAACCTTGTGCTTCTCAAATCTCAATCGTTGATTATTTTTCCAGGTAAGAGTGCATATGTGCATGTCCATGTCTTTTTGTAGTTCAACAGGTCCAATGGGCAAAAATTGGAAACAGAAAAAACAATTGGTGCCTGGCCTTCCTTGAGATTGCCAAGCACCCTAAGTGGCCTGGCTATTACAAAATTGGTACGATATACAAATAGAAATAAAACAAAACTTACGTTGTTTTAATAGGAAATTAAAATCTTCAATAAGCTGAAAAAGCAAGCAAGAGGACAAGAAGATCCAAGGAGGAAAGAGAACAAGAGGGGGAAGGTTCAGAAAGGGTGAAAAACTAAGTCCTATATTGTAGAGGCCTTGCAGCCAAAGCCTAAATTGTTTACGAGTTCCAAAACCATTAATCAGGCTGGTCCCAACACATAATATGACTGCTCCTCTCTCTCTCTCTCTCTCTCCCCCTCTCTTTGGAGTGATTTCTAGGATCTCCTTATGATGGGATCCAGACTTCATCCTTTAACCTCCCCTATTCTCACTTTCCAAGAAATAAGAAAACAAGTCTCGAACAAAGATTAACCAGTTGCTCAAGCATATCCACAACATATCAAATCAAATCATGGGTTAAAGCCCATTTGGTAAATCCAGAAGAAGTGAATCTCAAATCCAAGGCGTGCTTAACAAATCTTTTGCATGACTCCTATTGCTTAGAGTAAGAAAACAGTTCGTGTCTGGGTTTGATTTGACGTACATCTTTGAGCTGTAATCCATGTTTAGTTGATTTTGTTCCATTGTTTTTTAACTTATTTCTTTGTTCATTTGGTCATTTCTTCTTTGACAGTCACATTAATGCGTTCATGTTGTTTAATTTGTGAATGTTTCGTTTAATTGATTAAGAACTAGTGCCTGACATAAAATTTTAAAAAATCTTTTTATACTTGAAAATTTTATGTATTTTCTCTAAGTAATAACTACTCATCTTTCACATACCCAAAAAAACTACTCATACTTCTTTTCCCATTAACTATAAATGCCTAATTTAAACAGATCTAGATTTATCAAATGTATTTTCAATTCTTGATTCCATTTCTAATCACTATCACGTCCTACATTATAGATTGAATATTCAGGAGATGAATTCCTTATAATAAGGGCTAATCCCTTCCAGGGTCAAAATGAAATCTGTTAGCCATTACCATGGCTCACTGAGTTATTCTAGAAACAAAGACTCCAATTTCCATCATGCCACACCCAAGAGTCTCGGGTGGTAGGCTTGCTTAAGGAAAAGTTTACCCTTCCAAGGGTTTCTCTACTCAATGAGATTGACAGAAAATTCATTCAAGATCCTTCGCACCAGTTTTTGATTGTAGACCTTTACTCTGACATGTTCAACTGAAGACTATCTGCTCCAATTGGGTGAGAAACTTAGCCCACCAACTAGCTATGGTCCAACTCTGATACTATGTTAAATCACCATTTATTCTAAAGTTCAAGCTGTTAGAGAGGAAATTACATAACTATTTATACTTCAACATATGCAAGCCTGGACACTTATAATATTCCTCCTTCAAAGTTAAAACAATGATTCATTATTCTTAGAAAAGTCCTAACCTAAGGCTCCCTATCATTCAGAAAGGTTAAATGGTAAATGTCATTCCTCCTAGAGAACGAACAAAACACAGAAACAGACGACCTAGTAAATTAGAAAAGTCATTGCCTTACTGGTCTCACTCAGCTAACAAGTGAATAGAAATAATTTAAATGTGAACACCTCTAACCAACTTCTTCATGTTTCTCACATTATAATGGGATTAGGATTAGCAATACACGTAAACAACAAATACATGCAAATAATAGATCAGCGATATGACGCAAAACGATTTAAAGTTCCTATACAACAGGAAAACACTCACCTTTTACAAAACTTAAATGTGTGTGTGTGTGTGTGTGAGAGAGAGAGAGAGAGAGAGAGCATAAGGAAGGAATAAAAGAAAAAGATGAAAGAAGAAAGAAGAAACCAAAAAAGATAAGAAACAGAGACAGAGAGGGAGAGTGAATTCGAATCCTTTCAATAATTTTTCAATTCCCAAAACATAACCATCCCATTCACCAATTACGTGAAATCAAAATAGGTACATTAAAACTCCAAAAATAGGGAAATAAAATAAATCTTCAACCCAAAGATGTCTTATCCCTCGCCCCATCAAATACAGGTTTAGATACACTCAATGACTTCTATGAACACCTCAAATATTATCTTCAAGGATGCTTTGCAATAGCAAACTTAAGGAAATAACCAGAAAAGTAAAGCGACCCCACTATGCATCACACAAATGGGATTCCAGAGGCACAGAAGAAAATCTAAAATGAATTAGGTAATCCTTCATCAAGGCACAGACCTTGTTGGCCCACTTGAGTCCGCATGCATTGCACAGTGTCCTTGGGCCATCTGGTCCACGACGCATCATTGGAGTGGACTTTGAGCTAATTCCACAGTGTCTACATCTGTTGGAAAAATCAGAAAAGGGTGGGCAAGGAAACAAATATAAGATGTTTTAAGAAATCATTACAAATTCAATGCATAAAGCAGGTAAAGGACAATCAATTTCATATTTTAAAAGAATTAAAAGTAGGATTAAATGGTTCAACACCCACAAAGTTTCCTGTTCCCCATGGCCAGAACTGGCATTCCAATCCGAAGAACATGAACCCACTTCCTCAGAAAATGCCTTGGAAGATGTAAACTGACCCTTCTTACGCTGCATCCTACAGAGTTACACAGAATATGAGACTAGATCCAGAATGATAATAATGCCTGTGAAGAAATATAATGGAAGAGGACAAATAGAAAAAGAACATCAATCAGAGTCAGCAGTGCAGAAACACACTTGCAACCACTATTGAAAAATAAATAGGAAAAGAAAATGCTAAGAAAAAACTAAAAGCATAACTCTAACCGCACAATTCTCTTTTACCTGAGAGCAACTTCCTTCCTAACATTGTAACGGATTTTCTTATCAAAACATCTCTCTTTTCTCTTCTCCCTAAATCGATTCAAAGAAGCAGCCCTTTGTGGTTGACTAGACCGTACAGGAAAGTCACCCTGGCCCTATGAGAATTGCAAACAAAACAGTGATAACAGGCACAAAACAATACTATGATAACGCTATTGTATGATTACGCTATTGTATGGCTACCCTATGATTCTGGGGTGCCATCCCAACAGTAGGAATGCCTGTGGGGACTTCATATCCACCAAGGAGTAACAACACTGCCTGCACCTGTAAACACCGATGAAGAAGAAACATTTTATTCCTTGCACAATCCATTCCAGTAAACTCGAATAAAACTTTATAAACAAACTTTCCAATCCATGAAAAACAAATAAAAATACAACAAACACACAGACTATCACACAAAACTACTAGGGGCCTACGGCAATCAGTATAAAAGCAAATTTGATAGTTCCCAATCCATAAATCAACCACAGAACATACAATCCCTATTATTGGCAAAGCAGGAAACCCAGAAACTATCCATTTTCTATATTCACCAGAGACATACCTACAAAGGCTTATTAAAAAAAGAGACATGCCTACAAACGAACTGAAATTTCACAAATTTCAGCAAAACCTCCATTGAAAATCAGCAGCCTTCTCAGTAGACAATTACCAACCCTAATATTTTTTCCAAAAAACGCACCTTTTATACAATTTCCCATACCCAACCACCAATAAAGTATATCTCTCAGTTACTAGAGCATGAATTAGAAAACTATATCACATAGTTCAAGAATTAATCAAACCTCAGAATAACCAATAAAGATATTTTCAGGTACAAACAGCATTAAATTGCACAATTCACAAAACTAACCAAAAACCCTGCTGAAAAATAAAAATCACACCTTTTCTGGCGAAACGGAGTCGAACACATACACTTCGCCCTGAAACGACAGCGTTAGCTGATCAGCACCACCTCCACCTGCTGGCGGAGGAACTTCAGTACTTGGAACATACAAAGCATGGTGCCCAACACCGTCTACGGCATTCATACCGGCTTCCATTGCTCCACCGACGCCACCGTTTTGGATCACATGAGAGTGGTGATGTTCATATCGGATCTGAGAGCCATCCATGGACTCTCCTCCTCCTCCACCACCCCCAACGTCGTCGTCGTCTTCATCATCGATCTGGCCTTGCCTTTGTTGTTGTATGCTCATCGTCCCTGTCCCGTAAATCGAACCTTGGCGATTTGTCTCTGGCATCTCTCAAGCATTTACAGCTCAAAAGGAGTCCAATTTAACAAAAAAAAAAAACTAACCAATCCCTCAAAAAAATCCTAAAATCACAAAAGTTAACTGAAAATTGAAGGAAGACATCGAATTTCACAGGTGAGACAACAAAAAATTAAATTTTTTAAAAATTTACAAGAATAAAAACCAAAGACTAAGAAGCTGAGATTTGGAAAATCCGATACAAATAATACTGTAAATTCAAATTAAATCAATAAAAAAAGCCATCGAACACAGATATAATCTATGATGTTTATAAGAGATCGAGGATATAGAAGACGAAGATTTAATAGAATTTGAGTCCTGATTGGTGTGAGGGAAAATTGGGTAGTGATTGGGTGTTTTGTTTCGATACGTTTCCGGAGGTAGAGTGCTCAGATGATGGGATCAAAATTTTAGAAAGAATTGTACTTTGTACCGTAAAAATTTTCTTAAGTTTTCTAGTTTATATTTATAAGGGAGAATTATAGTTAGGCTATAAGTCTCGCGAGGATTGCCACTTAATTATTCAAATATCTAATATTTAAAATATTATGCACAAATTTTTTAAAGTTTATACGCATATAACACTTAGACTCCTATCATCAAATATCCGTAATTATATCCATTAGTAAATTATACCTAGATCTTCTGAAATTTATAACTATATAATATTTAGATTTTTCAAGTTTAAAATATTATATTTAGACCAAAAATATTCTAATTAAAAATAGAATATTAAATATTTTAAATTTTATAACCAAAATATATGTTCTATTATATCATTTATTGAAATAAAATAAAAAATAAAAAATTAATTTTTTCTTAAAAAATCGTAATTAGTATATAATTATACTATCTATTGGAATAAAATTAAAAAATCAAACAAAAGGTCTAAATCATTCATAATTTTTTTTTATAAAGTCATTCATAATAGTCAAATTCATCTTCTATTATGTCATTTATTGAAATAAAATCAAAAATAAAAATTTATTTTTTCTTAAAAAATTATAATTAATATATAATTATATTATCTATTAGAATAAAACTAAAAAATCAAATAAGGGATCAAACTGTAATTAACACAATATATTCTAACTTTAATTGATATAATTTAGTCATTTAAACGACCAAATTAAATTCCAATAGATAGTATAATAGTATAATAATTATAATTTTTTAACAAAAAATATATTTTTAATTTTAATTTTATTTCAATAAATGTTATAATAGAACATGAATTTTAATCGTAAAATTTAAAATATTAAATATTTTATCTTTATTTTTTATATTTTTTGTCTAAATATAACATTTTAAACTTGAAGAATGTAAGTATTATATGCCTAGAAACTTCAGGGGTTTGGATGTAATTTACTAACGGATATGTTCGAAGTGTTACGCGAGTATAAATATCAAGTCTGTGTATAATAGTTCAAATGTTAGGAGATGAGTGATTAAATGACAAATTTCAAAAAATCTGAGTGTGATTCTCCCTATTTTTAAACTTTAGAATGCATTCTATATTATAACTTTCTGTTAATTTTTTCGTAAGTGTTAATGAGTTGACTTTTGATAAAAAAAAATAATAGAAGCTACCATAAAGGTCACATTAATGTGATACATTAAAAGTACAAGGTAAAGAAATTTAATTTTTGAGAGTACAAAATAAAAAATTTGAAATCTTTCAAGATATAAATTGTGACAAATTCAAAATTTTATTTCTATATAATATTTTGGTTGTGATGAGCCCAAATCTAATTGGGTCAAACCAATAAATCAAGCAAGCTCAAATCAGTTAAAAATAGCTTAAGTCCGTTTTATCAATCCAATTCAATTCAAGATCCAAGAAGCTCGAAAAAATAAGAGCACGTGGAAGAGAGATTATCGGGATACACACTCACAAAAATCAATCCTACATTAATTGTACTTTCTTTTTGTAACCATCCTCCCCGAAGAAGTAATGTCCTCATACTTACATCACCACCTCACCATACTTATAAATTGTATACTCTCTCCATATGGAGAGACACATCTCCCATCACATTCTAGTATCACACCACGCCTCTCTACACACATAGCTTCTCTCTCCTAACTACTATACCGCTGTCGTTTTTCGAGAGTACAGTAGGTCATCGAGACCGAATCACTATATATTTGTGTGTTGACCCGATATTTACTGTGTTTGCCATTGAATGTTTTATTTATTATCCATTAATTACACATTATCACACACTCGACTGTTGATTTTGTACGAGATAGTTTTATGCATCATTAGATTGAACCAGAAACATAAATGTTTTGAAAATTTGGTCACTAGAAATAGAAAAAAATTTTAAAACAATTTAAATGTAGAATGAAAATGAATAAAATTTTTGGAATTTTATTTTAAAAGAATTTCAATACATTGATCGAAATATAATAAAATTAACGTGTACTCTTGTGATACACGAAATTTATAATCTCGTCCAATCATTAGTATACCACCAAATCCTTCATGATCTTAATATTACTCGATAATTATCTATTAATGCATTAAAATAGTATTTTTTTTTAAATTTAAAATTGTTAAGAAAGATTATTAAAAATTGAAATTTAAAGTAGTTTAGAAAAGTGACGAGAGTTTACAAATGACACGTAGAATAATTTGATTTTAGCTAATTAAATATTTTAAAATTTTAATAATTAAGCATTTAGGGAGAGAAGTCTTCTCAAATTTCTCTTCTCCTTAATTTAGCTGTTTTTTATATATAGATAAATGAACACCTCAAAATAATCTAAAATATTAGTAAAAATGTGATGAACATCTTGAAAAATCTCATTATACTTTGAAATATTTTGAAAATGAGAATATTACACCTCAATTTAATTATTAATTCATTTCAATCCCCTAAAAAAAATCGACCATTCTAAAATGAATTTTCGATAATAGTACTAGAAGATGACAAACAAGATTAAGAAATGAGCCAAGTTGATTGGGTGAACTTACAAAGAATGCCATGAATATTTATCCTTACCAAAAAAAAAGAAAGACATGAATACTTATTGAACGAGCTTGTTTGGTTACCGTATTATATTATAAAAGAATGAATTGCTTTTTTTGTAATACAGGTTAACTCAATATAAGCAAATAAAATGAAATTGTATTTTGTAAAAGATTAAATATGAGACAAAAATATTACGCTTTGTATCTAATATTTAGTAAGACACTTAATTAAGCGTGAGATAATAAAGTACTTATTACATATTGACAAAAAAATTATCAATTTTGTCTTGTTATTAATCTTTTTGTTTACTTGTTGGGTAAAATATTAAATTTATAACTTAATACACTTGAACTAGATTATGATACCACATTCACATGTAATATTATAATCCGCTTAATAGTATGAATAGAGTATATTATTTTGGATAAATATTTAAAATTAAACTATATATAATATGTAGTATTTTTTGCAACTAAATATAATATAAAATTGGATTAGAGAGTTTTAATATGTTATTATTTGTAATCTACCTTTTAAATATTTCAATTAAACGATTCCACAATATAAGATAAATTTTTTACTTGTTTTACTATTATATGGATTTAGTGAATTTTTAGTTTATACAAAAAATTAGGAGTATGGGTTTTGATATTTTGGTTGAAAGATAATGAAATCTTAGCTATAGAATTTTGATTAACGGATTATACAAATCAATCCCAACATAACACAATAATAGATAAAAATAACATGATTAATTAAATAATTATATTAAAATTAATTAATATTTAATACAAACTTAAATAAACACGATTCAAACAAAATACGATCCAGTTGTCACCTGGAGAGAGTAAGAGACGTGGTGTTGAGTCATGACTTTAGACTTTAGAGTCATGGCCGGTGGTGATGGTGATTAGAGGAACCTGAGTGAGAGTGCTGAACTGCTGGGTCAATTTGATCTTTCCCTATCCTACTGTGATGCATGCGAGGGCAAATGAGATGTAATTTTCCAAAATAAATGGACATGTTAGAAATTGAACCACTAAAACATAATTTTCAAATTTTAGTGCTACAACTGTCAAAATTCATATATCAAGAACTAAATTGACAACAAATTGTCTTTCTTTGATTTCTTCTTCCTCTTTTTATTTTATTTTATTATAGGGTATTCAGACGTGTGTCGTCTACTCTTCGAACCTTAACGACTTACTATTATAACTTGAATAGCGTTAGGACATGTTCTAAAGGAATAAGAGTGACTAGCCCATTAGTGAGTGTAGGAAGGAATTACTTTTTTCCCTTCGTTATTGTGCTTTCCAAATGCTCATTTAAAAGCTATGTTCAACTTACTCAAACAAATAAAAAGCGATATACAAACTTGGACTTGCTAACAAAAAAATTATCTCTGACTTCAAAATTTGATCAATTGGTTCTAGGCAAGGACAGAATCAAGATTTTATCTCCAGGGAGGCCAACAACAATATAGACAAAAATCCAATTCAATAGGTTTGTTCAACGGTCATGGTTAATAATAAATTTTTATTTATAAAAAATTTATTAAATTTAATTTTTATGCAATTACATCGAAAAAATTATTTTTGAGCACAAAACTCAAAAGTTTTTCATGCCATCATAAAAATTCATTTGTGATAATCTGTTTTTTTTTTTTTGCTGTTGTTTATAGTGTAACCTTTTGTCTATAAATAATCGGGTTAATTGTATTGGAGGTCTCCAAAGTATGAAGTTTATCTCATTTTAGTCCTCAATGTTTCAATTGCATCATTTTGATCCCTGAAGTATTGAATATGTTTCTATCTGATCCTTCAAGCAGACAATGTCCAGATTGCTAGCGATTTTTTATTATAAATTTGTCGCATGATACTTAAATATAGACAAAAAAAATAATTTAGATAACTCTTAACTAAATTTATACTCAAATTTTGGTTAAATAACTATCTAAATTATATAATTTTGATCACGAACTATCCAAATTTTGATCAAAAGTTTTCATAT